TGTGTTTCGATTATTTACTTTAAAAAAATACGTGGCCGTGTCTCGCACCCCCAGAAATGGCATCTCGCACCCCCAGGAGGTGCAGCGTGCACCTCAGGTTAAGAAAATTAACTACTGGCCTATAGGGTAGGCACACAGGTAGTAGTAGCAGCAGCAACAGCTATGAAATGTGTCAGTGTAGACCACTGAGTAACAGGTTGCGTGCCACCACCATCACACAGGTAGCAGCAGTAGCTATGAAATGTGTCAGTGTAGACCACTGAGTAACAGGTTGCGTGCCACCACCATCACACAGGTAGCAGTAGTAGCTATGCAATGTGTCAGTGTAGACCACGGAGCATGCCACCACCACCACCCCCACCCCAGTCGCTTTCTCTTGTTGTTCCACTCTCTCCGCGTCACTGGATGTGGGTGTCGGCGTGACCCGGGCCCCGAGGCCTCCTTCCAGGACGCTGGGGGATGAGCTCCGAGCTCACGCAGCTCACCACCACGGTCACAGGTCCATTAGGTGTGGGGGAGGGGGGTCCAAGCAGTGCCGGATGATCCTAGTAGCAAAAGGAGCTACACATGTAGTAGCTACCACACGTGTAGTAGCTACCACACGTGTTGTAGCTACACACGTGTAGTAGCTACACACGCTACGGGCCCCGCACTTTCAAGGACCCCGCGCTAAACGCTTTCAAGCTATCAATTCCGGTTCAGTGATTCTGCACTTGCTCTGTTACTATAGTACTATACCGCCTTCGACTTTTATGAACAACTGGGTGTTTATGGTTAGCGATTTGTCGTATTATCTGGGCTGTATAGCAAATGAAAATATACAATTACTTTACTATGCAAGTAAAAAAATGTTGTGTTTCAATATTTACGTGTTTTTTTTATTTAGGGCCCCTTTTATAACATATGCTACAGGCCCCGCACTAGCTTAATCCCGCACTGGGTCCAAGTAAAATAAAGTAGACACAGAGTTAATAAATCCGTCCGGATTTAGTAACTCTGTCGTGAGATGACTAGAGTCGAGAGAGGCAAGAGATGTTAGTGAGTGGAAACGAGAGAGCAAGACACGAAGAGCGATGCGGTGAGATGAGAGAAGAGTGGTGTGGAAGAGACTCACGTGTTTGTGTGGATATGCGTTGAAATGATTTCGCACCGTACGTAGCCAACCGTGCTAATCGGATGTGCGGGGGGGGGGGGGGGGAAGGACAACAAACTATGGACACAAAAAGCAGTTCTAAAGCAATGAGTTTTTATCAATATAGATGATGATTTAAAAGTCCGCAGCTCCCAGTGGCTTCCAAATATCGGAAGGAAGAGCGTTCCAGACGGCCGCAGAAGCGCATCTGAAAGCGCGCGACGCAGCGATGACCGTCTTTGTTCGATTCGTGTTGATTGACGCGTTGCTTATCAGGATTTCAAGTGGAGCCGATATTTGGTTGACCACTCCCCTGTGTGCTAACGAACCTGGTGCCCCTTGGGTTGTTTGGGTCCCCTTAAAGCTTGGGCTTGGCTTGCTCACGCCTCGTGCCAACTCGACTCACATCCACGAACACTCGGATTACGAACTTTCAGAGATACGAACAAACCTGGTCCCTATGTCCAGTCTCCTGTTCGGACTGAGAGTCGTAAGTTCAACCGCAGTGCAATAGACGGGAGGTAGTGGCATCTACAGAACGTGAAGAACCAGTGGCATCTACATCTCCAGAACGTGAAGAACCAGTGGCATCTACATCTGCAGAACGTGAAGAACCAGTGGCATCTACATCTGCAGAACATGAAGAACCAGTGGCATCTACATCTGCAGAACGTGAAGAAGCAGTGGCATCTACATCTGCAGAACACGAAGAACCAGTGGCATCTACATCTGCAGAACATGACGAATAAGTGGCATCTACATCTGCACAACGTGAAGAACCAGTGGCATCTACATCTACAGAACGTGAAGAACCAGTGTCATCTACATCTACAGAAGATTATACAACTGTTAATGCCATTCCCGTGTTTAGTGTACATGCCGTACAACACGTTTGGAATCGACAGGAGTAAAGTTGGACTTACAAACAAATCGACTTACGATCAGACCTCCGGAACTTAACTCGTTCGTAAGTAGAGGAGTCGCTGTACTCGGCTGTGGTTTGCCTGGACACGTCACAACAGAGCCACGTGGCTATTTTGGAAGCCTTCACTTCATCAGGAAATTCGACGTCTCTGAAAACCACTGGACAATGTGTGGACAAAAAGAGCTTCATAGCTCATTTGATTCCTCGCCCGGCACAAATACATATTCCGATTCTGATATTCTGAAATCTGTAATCTTGTCACGTACATCTGGTTCTGTCAGGACAATGCCTGATCATTATAATCGATCTACCCCCCCCGCCCCCCCCCCCCCCCCCCCCCCCCCCAGTGCTGATGTTTCCACGCCGCACCAGGTAAACTCACTTATGGCTGAGTCAACCCAGGGGGAGACCCAGAGACCCTGTTCAAACAGTCTCCACTGCTCTCGGTCGTGAACTGGTGGCCGGGTATGGTTACGCAGTGCGCTGACCGCTGCACCACCGCTCCCCGGACACACAACAGGAGTTGCACGCAACTCAGTCTAAACCATGACTCGTATCGACTCTCCCTAACATCAGCCCCCCCCCCCCCCCCCCTTCTCCGCATTCTTGGCTCAACTTTTGAATCCAAGCAGCGTTTGTTTAAGCAGAGAGCCGTGATCCGAGCTGTTCTGTATCTTGTCTATCTCCTCCAGCAGCGCCTCCGATGAGCACGTACGGTGCGAAAGAAGTTCAACCTACAAACTAAACTCGTTTTTTAGTCATAATACATGTGTTTTTTTTGAGTCAGATCGCGTTAATGTATAAATGTGTCGTTAAACCCGCCACCACCCGACACGACCAATCAGTAAGGTTTGTCACGTAAAGAGAACGTGGCCAATTCGTTACAAGTACAGCACACCGGTGTGTTGGAGAGCCAAGCAACAACATTTACAATCATAATGTAGTGTATAGTGTAGTGTATAATGTAGTGTATAATATAGTGTATAGTGTAGTGTATAATGTATTGTATAGTGTAGTTTACTAGTACAGCACACCGGTGTGTTGGAGAGCCAAGCCACAACATTTACAATCATAGTGCAGTGTTTCGTGTAGTGTATAGTGTAGTGTATAATGTAGTGTATAGTGTAGTGTATAATGTAGTGTATAATGTAGTGTATAGTGTAGTGTATAATGTAGTGTATAGTGTAGTTTACTAGTACAGCACACCGGTGTGTTGGAGAGCCAAGCCACAACATTTAGAATTATAGTGTAGTGTTTCGTGTAGTGTATAGTGTAGTGTATAATGTAGTGTATAGTGTAGTGTACAATGTAGTGTATAGTGTAGTTTACTAGTACAGCACACCGGTGTGTTGGAGAGCCAAGCCACAACATTTAGAATTATAGTGTAGTGTTTCGTGTAGTGTATAGTATATAATGTAGTGTATAGTGTAGTTTACTAGTACAGCACGCCGGTGTGTTGGAGAGCCAAGCCACAACATTTAGAATTATAGTGTAGTGTTTAGTGTAGTGTATAGTGTGGTGTATAATGTAGTGTATAGTGTAGTGTATAATGTAGTGTATAGTGTAGTGTATAGTGTAGTTTACTAGTTCAGCACACCGGTGTGCTGGAGAGTAAATCCACAACATTTACAATCTGGCTGTCGCCTGATGGTGCTAGATGTAATTACTGGCGAAACGTCGTACTCAGATTGTAAATCGACGCGTAACATGTTTCCCCCTTTGAATACTAATTTCTGTTTGATAATAAAGCATGAAATATTACGTTTCAAATAATTGAATCTCAATGGGGGGGGGGGTCACAAGACATCTGGACCACGCTGTACTGTACCGAGTATAACTCCATTACTTGTACAGAATCATTCCAATGGTAGCGACACAATGTATCACCCTTTTTTTAAATAGTTTGCATAATTTATGCGCCGACGCTATGTCTATACACTGCAAAGTCACGAAGTGTTCCTCTAATTATAAACACACACACACCCAGCGTGGGCGAGTTCATTCCTCCCGCAGGGGTGTTCTTAAACATTCACACAAAAGACAAAGATCCCCCGTGTAGCCTTCACAGACTGTTGGGGCAAGTGCTGTTAGCGAGCAGCGCCTATGATGAAGGCCGGCACTGTGGTACACGAGGGGGTGGGTGGCCAGCACCACCACGCCCGGCCGCCTTTGTCTCCCCGATGACGATGTTTACTACACAGCGCACCAGGTACTCATTTGAGGCTGAGTCGATCTAGGGGAGGCCCAGTACCGGTTCAGATAATCGTCACCGGTGTTGGGCGTGAGCGGGAATCGAATTTGGGTCGCCGGGTTCGGAGCGCAGCGTAGCGCTAACCACTGCGCCACCGCTCACCAAAAAGCATTCTGGTCACACCCCCCCCGTAGTCGTACTTAGTATGGACCGAGGGCGAGTTCATTCCTCACGCGGGGGTGTTTTTAATCGTTCATATCCATAATCAGTACGGACCAAGGACGAGTTCATTCCCCGGCGCAGGGGTGTTTTTAGTAGTTAGCATTCCGTAAAATAACGTTGACTAGTTCGTGGGCGAGTTCATTTGCCCCGCGAGCAGGGAGCGCGTGTGTTTTTTTTTGTTTGAGAGGCGTCTTTCGCAAACCATTATTGTCGTTGAATAATTATGAACAAGAATCTCACACGGACGCTCATACAATATTGTAGTATAAGTCCCTGGTTTAGATTCGGGGGGGGGGGCGGTGTTTGTCCGAAGATTCACAGCCAAAGGACGAGTCCATTTCCCTTCTTAGGGGGGATGTTCGTAGCACATCGGGCGCCCTCCATAGTTGTGGTCATTATCGTGCCGGGCGAGTCCATTTGAGTGCGCCTTGGGGGGGGTGGGGGGTGGTTAGTATCTGTGGTGTTTGTGGTCATTATCGTGCCGGGCGAGTCCATTTGAGTGCGCCTTGGGGGGGGGGTAGGCGGGTGGTTAGTATCTGTGGTGTTTGTGGGGCGTGCTCATACCCAGTTGAGTGTCTCTCACGCCGCCGTGCGTCTTCGTCGTCGTCGTTATCGTCTCTAAGGCGTCGCCTCCTCCTCCTCCTTCAGCCGCGAAGATGTTCGGTCTGGGCCGCTTCGCTGGGAACTTTATACAGGCGGTGGCGGGGTGAGTTTGCGTCTTCGTGCTACGGACGCTACCTTAATAGGGGCTCGCTAACGGTGTCGGTCGTGCCGCGCCGTGTGACGCGCCCGTGCGTGCGTGTCACCTAAATAGGGAGCTCGCAAACTCATGGGTTGCTATGTGTGTGTGTGTTCAAGTCGTTAACTAGGGTCAATCCACTGCTGGATGAAGGCGTCCCCCCCCCAACAAAAACTGTCGGTGTGTGTTTGACCTAAATAGGATCTCGCAAACTCGTGCGTGCCTCTGCGTGCGTACTGTACTGTAACATGTGTGTACTGTACTGTAACATGCGTGCGTGTGTGTGTGTCACCATCGGCCACGATCCTACTAGATTGTGCAAGTGTGTGTGTGGTGTGTACGTGTGTGGCATTAATAGGACAAACTAGCGGGGGGTTTTGGCTTGGCGCGCGGGGAGCGGTGGCGCAGTGGTTGGCGCCACCGACAGCGACGATTATCTCTGAACCGGTCCTGGGCCTCTCCCCCCCCCCCCCCCAGGTCGACTCGGCCTCAAATGAGTACCTGGTGGCGGTGTGTAGTAAAACAGTGGGGGAGATACAAAGGCGGCCGTGCGTGGTGCTGGCCACCCAACCCCCTTCGCGTGCCACGGTGCCGGTAGCCTTCATAGGTAGTGCTGCTACTCGCTAACAGCACTTGCCCCTACAGTCTTGTTAGGGGCTGTATGGGGTGTGGGGATCTTTGTGGCTCCGTGGTTTGCATAGTAAACCCTGCTGTGGGCTGTCGAGAGGACCTGGCGTTTGTAGCCCAGGGCATTGCTTTTCACAGCAATGCCCTCACGCCCACTCTAAACTCAAACATCCACACAATTACGCAGGCGTTGTAAGCGCACTTCGCATGTGGACGCACACGTGTGTGTGTGCCTGTGTGTGTGTTAAACACATAGGAGGCTTTCGCAACCAATAATCATCCGTCATCTGGTCCAACACCAGTGGAGACTAGGCTCTAAGAAAAGCCGTCTCGGGTGTGGACCAATCAATTTCAAGGACAGTGCCAATATCATCAGAGTTGTCTCTTTTTGTTTGCATTTTTGACTGCTTGTGTTGTGGTTATTGCAAACATGATCCCTTGTATAAAGGTGTCAGTTTTGGTGCCAGATGAAAGGGTAAAAACCTATTACTAGAGCCATGTCTGTGTTTGCATGTTCCCCATAAGTACCGTGTTGTCAATGCGAACTTGATTCCTTGCCAAAAGGTTTCTGTTTGGTGTTTGAGCACCTTAACACCTCTTGTTTTATTGCCAGAAAAGGTAAAAACGGTTCTTATTTTTATCATGGCATGTAATGTTATTTACCCATAACGTGTCCAAAGTTGTAAACTGTTGCGATGCTTTGTTTCACCAAACCTGCACTGCGGATCGCTACATTAAACCTGTGCAGCGTCTCCGCTTTACGTAACGCAGTTGTGTGAGCTTGAACAGTGTTGCTGTATTCTATCTAGGCTTGGAATGGATGCATCGTCACGTGCCTTAAACCGTATCGCAAGCAAACCAAAGCTCTTGCCAATGACACCAGGCGGCGAGGCAGCAGTGGCTGACTCATGAGTCACTCGAGAAGGCAAAACACGAATCAAAACTAGACACGGGGAGTGGGGGGAGGATCCCATCCCACACGACAAACGAAAATCCATGGCTGGGTGAGACCGGAGTCGGATTAAGATTATTGTAGGGGCTCAGGCACTTCTGTTTTGACGATGGCAACTATGTGGAATCACTACTGCCGCTACTGTAACTCTGCTTGATTGTGCAAAAATCACCACTTGGAGATGTTTATTTTGCTAATTTTGGAATGTAATTTTTTTCTCTCAAACTTCATCCTCCGGTGTTTAATTTCTTTCTCGCCTTATGAAAAAAAACAACGATTGACATGACTCAGCCTCTTTCTATAAACACTGTGCCGATCATTGCTATATATCAATATATTTATTCGAGAAGGTATCTTGGTTACATTTCTTATAAAACAAAAAAAACATGGTCACTTTTTTCATCGGCCCTTCAGTTTTCGTACCTACTGTGCCTATTTGATAATTATAATTGGATAATACGGCCCTGGCGTGAGAATATTTTCGGTTTTATGGATTCATGAGCGTCTGTAGAAATGGGCGCTGACACTATCACGTACTAAGCCCCCACTATGTGCGGTCGGTTAATCGGTCACGGTCCGATAAGTTAACGGTCGGATGGGCGACATTGTACCATAATTCATGCATTCTTTCCCAAACCGCTGTGCCCCCCCCCTCCCCTTTCTCCCTCGCCACGCAGGGAGATTGGAGGGAACATCGGGCAGCAGTTCTTTCAGGTGAGCGGTCAGACCTATGCGCTGAGACTGATATCGTCGCAGCATTCTGTACGGGACGAGACTAATAGACGGCCTGGCTTGGCTCGCGAAGGCAAGCAGGGCCGACGTAGGTGACTCTCGCGTGCGAGTTTGCACAGCCGAAATAGCTGATGGAGCCAACAAGAGGTGACACGGCCAATAAAGCCGTAACATCCAACATAGCAAAGTCGACGCACACACACAACTGATGTAGTTGATGCAGGCTATGCAGCAGGTACAACTAACACGGTCCGGCACAACTGACGCGGCTGGCACAACTGAAGCGGCCGGCACAAATGACACGGCCCGGCACAACTGACGCGGCCCGGCACAACTGACGCGGCCGCCACAACTGACACGGTCCGGCACAACTGACGCGGCTGGCACAACTGACGCGGCTGGCACAACTGACGCGGCCGGCACAACTGACACGGTCCGGCACAACTGACACGGTCCGGCACAACTGACACGGTCCGGCACAACTGACATGGTCTGGCACAACTGACACGGTCCGGCACAACTGACACGGCCCGGCACGACTGACGCGGCCCGGCACAACTGACACGGTCCGGCACAACTGACACGGTCCGGCACAACTGACACGGCCGGTACAACTGACACGGCCCGGCACAACTGACACGGCCCGGCACAACTGACACGGCCGGTACAACTGACACGGCCGGCACAACTGACACGGCCCGGCACAACTGACACGGCCCGGCACAACTGACACGGCCGGCACAACTGACACGGCCCGGCACAACTGACACGGCCCGGCACAACTGACACGGCCCGGCACAACTGACACGGCCCGGCACAACTGACACGGTCCGGCACAACTGACACGGCCGGCACAGCTGAGCATCTAAATCGGGGCGTGTCGATAGGGGCTGCCCGTGATCCGGCGCTTTGGAGGCACCGGCGGATAGGAGGATCGCGTCAAGATTTGTGAGAATGCCGCATACACGGTGGGTAGAAGGGGGGAGAGGGGGAAATGTGGTCGTGGGTGACGACTGCTGACGAGGGGAGTGGCAGCCGAGGTGAAGGGGCGTGCCCCGGAGGACGTCCCATCGCTTCAGACGGAGCGGTGAAATCCGCTCTTGCGCAGTTCCCCTGCTGCATCGTTTGCCGTCGAAGAGATGGCGACGGCTTGCAGGGGGAGGCATTCGTCCAGCAGTGGATGATTGATCGAGGCTGGCCGGCTGATGATGATGGTGATGATTTATTGACGCATTCTACGGAACTTACGGCGGCGCTCCGTGCAGCTTTGGGTCCCTGGCCGCCCGCCTCATCGCCCCTCCTGGTGGAGCAGCTGTTGCTTGCTGAGCTGCGCTTGGGATCTGGTTCCTACTCTCGTTGCTGGTTTGGCTTTTGGTTTTCCTGGAGGTTCTTGATGTTGGTTTCTGCTGTATCCTCTCTCCGTTGGTATGCGGGCGTCTGTGTGTGTCTGTATAGGAGCGGCGGTGTAGCGGTTAGCGCTACGAACCCGGCGACCCGAGTTCGATTCTCGCTCACGGCCGACACCGGCGACGATTATCTGAACCGATTCTGGGCCCCCCCCCGAGGTCGACTCGGCCTCAAATGAGTACCCGGTGCGGTGTGTAAACATCTTCGCCGGGGAGACAAAGGCGGCCGGGCGTGGCGCTGGCCACCCACCCCCTCGTGCGCCGTGCCGGCCTTCATAGGCGCTCGCTAACAGCACTTTCCCCAACAGTTTGTGTGAGCTATACGGGGGATCTTTGTCTGTCTGCATGGCTGTCTGTGCATGTCTCTGTCTCTCTGCACTGTGCTCCCCCCACTCCCTCCACCCCCCCACTGCCCCCCCCACTTCCCCGCCCTCTGCCTCTCTTCTTCGCCTGTCGCCACCTCCACCAACGAGCAGATGATTGCCGACTCCTCCAATCAAGACAGCTGGGTACGTGAAGCTCCCTCCTCACCCGGCTCCCTCCCCTACCGGCGTTGTAGCCAGCGAGGGTGCAGGCGGTGCAACTGCACCAGGGCCCACGGGCCGGAGGGGTTCCAGGTGCCGGGGAATGCACCGGAGCCCACGCCAATTACGCTACGCCGCGGGGCTTAACTGTAGCTCATATCACACATTATTTTCACGAGGTAAGGCTCCGCTGAGCTTATACAGCCATTTCGGAAGCGACTTGGCCATCACAAACGATAGCTCAACGAAGTGGCTTATCGTCACGTGGACATTTAAAGCAGTCAAATACCCTTTAAGCGCACGATGATTCTAAATGAGGAGGGAAAAAATCTACGCGACCATGGGGAGAGAGACACCGCAAACTACAAATATACAGCAGCAGGCATCAGGGTCGGGATCGATCCCACGACCTCCTGTATACCAAGCGAGGTAGTTAACATCTCCTAGCCACCGTGATGATGATGAGATAGAGACGCAGACTCCAAATTTCCAGGAGGCGTCGGGGTCGGGATCGAACCCATGACCTGTATACCCTGTATACCAGGCGAGGTAGTTAACATCTCCTAGCCACCGTGGGAAAGTGTGACACCAGTGCCTTAGTCAATGGCGTAGCGATCGTGTGCGGGCGGTGCCATTTTTGTTCTGAAATTCCCTGGAACTCGCTGGCCGCTGTTGGCTTAACATGTGCGCCTCCCATAATGCAGTGCGTGTGGAGCTGTAGCTGTAGTGCTGCCTTCCACAATGCACCGTGCTTGGTGATGTCGCTGTACTGCTGCCTCCCACAATGCAGTGTGTGGTAATGTAGCTGTAGTTCTGTCTCCCACAAACGGACTGCGCTTGGTGAGGTAGCTGTAGTGCTGCCTCCCACAATGCACCACACTTGGTGATGTCGCTGTAGTGCTGCCTCCCACAATGCAGTGCGTGTGATGTAGCTGTAGTGCTGCCTCCCACAATGCACTGTGTGGTGAGGTAGCTGTAGTGCTGCCTCCCACAATGCACCACACTTGGTGATGTAGCTGTAGTGCCGCCTCCCACAATGCACCGCGCTTGGTGATGTTGCTGTAGTGCTGCCTCCCACAATGCACCGTGCTTGGTGATGTCACTGTAGTGCTGCCTCCCACAATGCACCACGCTTGGTGATGTAGCTGTAGTGCTTACCTCCCACAATGCAGTGTGTGTGGAGATGTAGCTATAATGTCGCATCCCACAATGCACTGCGCTTGATGCTGTAGCTATCGTAGTGCCGACAATATACTATTAAAATTAAGGAATAACCCACACACAATATTTGCAATACAACATAATTTGGGTATAATAGTACTCATATTTGCTTCCACCCTGCACACACTTTCTGTCTAATGCGTCTCATCTCAAAAGTGTTAGAATAGGTTTGTTGACGTGTTGCAAATTATGGCAGTGACGATTGAACAATTAGTCCCTTTTGTGTTGGATCGTAGTGTAGGTATCTTGACTGTTTGTTTTTTTATAGCGGTAAACCTCCACCACCCGACAGAGCCAATCTAATCAAGTTGTCACCTGATGGGGCAAATACAGCGCGTCCGTTGATGTGGTTCATCGGCCACCTCCGATTAGCACGGCTGGCTAACGTACGGTGGGAAAGAAGTTCAACGTACGTACGCACAGGAGGGACGTGCAAAAGCCCAAGCAAAATGTTTGACAGTTGTACTCATTGACGACGTTTCGCTAGAGATTGCATCTAGTATCATCAGGTGAGAGTCACCGCTACCGCGATGCAGCGGCACCGCCAGAGGACGCCGCGGTCACTTCAACTTTCTAGAGCCGACCACGGACGGCGGCGGCGGCAGCTCAGGGGCTCGGCCATCCGTGGCGAAGTGACATCAGAGTCAGAATTTTGTACTTAGCCCAATGAGCTATGAAGCTCTTTTTGCCACAACTGTCCAGTAAGGGGGCACGGCGACAGAGCGTTACGACGACGACAAACACGACACGGTCGTCTGTGCTCTCGAGCATCGATGGCACGCACACACGTGCACGCGCACACACACGTGCACACGCACATGCACGTGCACACCAACACACGTGCACACGCACACACGCGCGCACGCACACACGCGCGCACGCACGAGTGGTGGCTACTTTGGTTCTCGAAGCTTTCAGACTGGTTTATCTCCCGAGACAAAGAGCCGTCTGGTGGCTCCGGTGGGGTGGGTGGGGGGGGGGTTCATAGCGGCCGTGTCGGAGACGACAACGGAGCCGGCACCGCCGAGGCCCTGGGTTTGAATCGGGGTTTCGGCCGCCCGTGATTGAACCGGGCTCTAGGCCGCGGCGGGTTGACGGTCTCGGGCCAGTCACCAAATGAGCGCACGGACACACTGATGGTTACTCGTGGATAAAGTTTTTGTTGGGTCGGATCGCGTCAACGTCGAATTCGCCGCAAAGCCACCTCAACCCGACACGGCCCACAATTTCGACTTCACACGGCCTGAAACTTCACTTAACACAGCCCGCAAATGAAACGCCACACGCGATATTTATCCATCGCTGTGAGCATCTTAGCCACACTAATCAGGCACGGGGGGGCGGGGGGGGGGGGGAAATGTTCCACCTGTCAGTAACGCTGCGTTTCTAGATTTAGTATGCATGTTGAACTTCTTTTGCACCGTACGTAGCCAACCGTGCTATATCGGAGGTGCCTGGGAAGGACAACAAACTATACACACAAAGCAGTTCTAATGAAATTGGTTTTAAATCGAGAGCGCTCAAACCCCTGATTATTTTTTTTGCACCAAAGCAGGGAGCGGTAGTGTAGCGGATTAGGGAGCTGTGCTACGAACCCAGCGACCCGAGTTCGATTCCCGCTCAAGGCCAACACCAAGGTAGATTATCTGAACTGGTCCCGGCTCTCCGCTATGTCGACTTGGCCGCAAATGAGAACCTGGGGCGGTGTGTAAACATCGCCACTGGGGAGACAAAGGCGGCCAGGAGTGGTTCTGAACACCCACCCCCTCGTGTGCCGTGCCGGCCTTCATAGGTGGTGCTACTCGCTAACAGCACTTGCCTCTACAGTCTGTGACGGCTACACGGGTGATCTTTGTCTTTGTGTAAATGTCTGTCGTGTACATTTTTGCAGCCCCCGAAGGTTCAGCCGACCCTGCAGAGCGATGAAGACGCTCAGTTCCGTCGCGTGTTCACCCAGCTCGCCGGGGAGGTACAGTAGACACACGCGGTACACACACGGTACACACACGGTACACACACAGTACACACGCACGGTACACACACACACGGTACACACACACGCAGTACACACACGGTACACACACACGGTACATGCACACACGGTACACGCACACGCATGGTGCAAACACGGTACACGCACACAACAGTACATGCACCCACGGTATACACACATGGTGCACACACAGTACACACACACACACGGTACACACACACGGTACACACACAGCAGACACACACGCGGTCCCACACATACACGGTACACACACACACGGCACACACACACACGGCACACACACACACGGCACACACACACACGGTACACACACACACGGCACACACACACATACACGGTACACACACACACGGTACACACACACATGGCACACACACACGGCACACACATGCAGTGCACACACATACACGGTACACACGGTACAAACACACAGTACACACACACACACACACGGCACACAGTACACACACACACAGTACACACACACGGCACACAGTATACACACACACAGTACACACACACACAGTACACACAGTACACACAAACACAGTACACACACACACAGTACACACACACACAGTACACACACACATAGTACACACACACACACAGTACACACACGGCACACAGTACACACACGGCACACACACGGCACAGTACACACACAGTATACACACAGTACACACTACACACACACACGGTACACACACACACGGCACACACAGTACACACACACAGTACACACACAGTAAACACACACACTACACACACAGTACACACACAGTACACACGACAAAAATGGTTAAAAATAAATATCATCTGGACGCTCTTTCGTTAGTGTGGATGTCCGCACGTCGGGGACTGCCCGTACTCATCGATTTGATTTGGTCTGTGTTACGACCTGTTGTGTCCATCTCCTGGGCATTCGCTAGGACATGGAGATCAGCCCTGGGGAGCTGCAGGGAGTCCTGAACAAGGTGGTCACCAAACGTGAGTGACCACACACGCAGACAAAGGTCCCCCGTGTAGCCTCGACAGACTGTTGGGGCGCGTGCTGTTAGCGAGCAGCACCTGTGAAGGCCGGCGCTGTGGCACACGGGGCGGGTTGGTGTGACCAGCGCCACGCCCGGCCGCCTTTGTCTCCCCAGTGCTGATGATTACGCGCGGCACCAGGTACTCGTTTAGGGCCGAGTCTACCTAGGGGAGGCCCAGAACCAGTTTAAATATTCACGGATGATGTTGGCCATGGCGAGGAATTGAACTCTTATCACCAGGATTGTAGTGCAGCGTGCTAACCAATATGCCACCGAAAGAAGTTCAACATAACATACGTACATAAACTTACACAGACTCCTCGCACAGAGACCCATAGACTCCTTGCACAGAGACCCATAGACTCCTCGCACAGAGACCCATAGACTCCTCGCACAGAGACCCATAGACTCCTTGCACAGAGACCCATAGACTCATCGCACAGAGACCCATAGACTCCTCGCACAGAGACCCATAGATTCCTCGCACAGAGACCCATAGACTCCTCGCACAGAGACCCATAAACTCACACAGCGACCCATAGATTCCTCGCACAGAGACCCATAGATTCCTCGCACAGAGACCCATAGATTCCTCGCACAGAGACCCATAGATTCCTCGCACAGAGACCCATAGACTCATCGCACAGAGACCCATAGACTCATCGCACAGAGACCCATAGACTCATCGCACAGAGACCCATAGACTCATCGCACAGAGACCCATAGACTCACCGCACAGAGACCCATAGACTCACCGCACAGAGACCCATAGACTCACCACACACAGACCCATAGACTCATCACACAGAGACCCATAGACTCATCACAGAGAGACCCATAGACTCATCGCAGAGACCCATAGATTCATCACACAGAGACCCATAGATTCATCACACAGAGACCCACAGACTCATCACACAGAGACCGATAGTTTGCTGTCCTTTCCCCGCACCTCCGATTAGCACGGTTTGGCTACGTACGGTGCGAAAAGTTCAACATACAGACGCGCGTGCGTGTTAAATGTATCAAAACAAAAATTGCATTTTTTTTTTTTTAAAAAGGTATGATAAAACATTTTTTTGAAAAAAAATCCGGCTCAACAGTAACTTGTTTCCCGGAGGTGGAACGTGATTGCTGGCAAACTGAGGAGCAAAGTGACGGTGCTGTCGCAGGAGCGCTCAAATTGACGGCTCTGGCCGACGAGAGTCCACGGGTGTTCGATGTCACCGTGCGGTTGTCTTCGTTCAGACCGCGACCTCAAGACGGACGGGTTCAGCATTGAGTCGTGTCGCAGCATGGTGGCCCTCATGGACGTATCCTGATTCGGCGGGCACACAACAACACAGCAACACAACAACACGGCTTGACACAACGGCGTGACGCAATAGAAGATGACACGACAACACGGCAGGAACACAACACGACGTGACGCAATGACACGCCCACAAACCGTCACCCTGACAACGTGCCACGGCACAAAATGGCACGGCACCGCGTGACGCAACGCTACACTACGCAAAGCAACGGCGCGATACGGCGCGACGTGGCGTGACACGCTGGGGAATGCGAACGACGTGACGCGACAGCGAGGGGCGGATAAATCGGCGTGACGCGCGACGCCGAAAGATGACGCTGCAATGAGCGACGTAGCAACACGGCTAAAGCCGACGCCGGAACGCGACTTCGCACGGCGCGGCAACAGCTCGGCGCGACCTGGGGCGGAGCGCGGCGCGACGCAGGCGGCGACGCGCGCCAACAAGGGGGCACGCGTCGCCGCGGCACAGCGTGAGAGCCCCGAGCGGCGGGGGCGGCTCCCTGCCGTCGTGAAGCCGACGACCCTTGACCTTCGAGCACAGTCGGACGGCACGGGGAAGCTGGGCTACGAGGAGTTCAAGATCCTGTGGAACAAGATCAAGTCCTGGCAGGTGTGTGTGAGAGTGATGTGTGTGTGTGATGTGTGTGATGTGTGTGATGTGTGTGTGTGAGTGATGTGTGTGTGTGTGTGAGAGTGATGTGAGAGTGATGTGTGTGAGTGATGTGTGTGTGTGAGTGATGTGTGTGATGTGTGTGTTGTGTGTGATGTGTGTGGTGTGTGTGTGGAACAAGCTCAAGTCCTGGCAGGTGTGTGTGAGAGTGATGTGTGTGATGTGTGTGTGAGAGTGATGTGTGTGTGTGTGAGAGTGATGTGTGTGTGTGTGAGAGTGATGTGAGAGTGATGTGTGTGTGGGTGTGATGTGTGTGAGTGATGTGTGTGTGGAACAAGGTCAAGGGCTGGCAGGTGAGGCCGTGCGTACGTGCGAATGCCGCGGGGAGTGGTGGTGCAGCGGTTGGCACGCCGCACCTCGGACCCGGCGGCCCGAGTTGGATTCCCGCAGACAATCTGCTCGGCAGGCCGAAAGCAATCCACTGGTGTAGAATCGGTGCTCGCACTCGCGACGCACACGCGGGGGAGCGCGTCTGCGCGTGTGGGGAGCGGTGCCGTAGCTGCACTCTGGGACCCGCTCACAGCCAATACCGGTGACGATTATCTGAACCGGTCATGGGCCTCCCCCTAGGTCGACTCAGCCTCAAATGAGTACCCGGTGCGGTGTGTAGTAGACAACTCCACTGGGGAGACAAAGGCGACCGGGCGTGGTGCTGGCCACCCACCCCCTCGTGTGCCGTGCCGGCCTTCATAGGTGCTCGCTAACAGCACTTGCCCCAACGGTATGTCGAGGCCATACGGGGGATCTTTGTCTTTGCAGACTCTGTACAAGCAGTATGACGCAGACCGCAGTGGTGCGATGTCGGCATCAGAGCTGGGACCCGCCCTGGCAGCCGCCGGTACGGGATTGCACGTGCACATGCAGACACGCACGCACTTACACGCACGCACGTACACGCACGCACGTACACGCACGCACGTACGCGCACGTACGCGCACGTACACGCACACACAAGCATACGCACGCACGTATGTAAAGCAATAACCGTCATTTGCCATTAAGTGGTGGTGACGTCACCAAGGTGCTAATGAAGTGACGAAGGCTCGCTGCTAGAAAGAGGTCACAGGACAGACCCAGGTGCCATAGGTTGACTGGACTGAGATGACTGGCCGATGCTCCACCTGTTCTCCCCACTGTGCCAACTTGCTGCATTTTATTCGCCCGGCGCTCCACTCGTTGTTGTGAGCGTCGCTCCTCCGCCCTCCGTTGCTGGAGGGCGACTGCCTCCAACTGCCCAGTAGCGTCCTTCACGAGCCTCCTCCACAGAGGCCGATCTTAACACCACTGGTACCAGTCATCGGCAAGTCCACTCAGCTCCACATCCTCCAGTACCGCATCACTCCATCTCTTCTCTAGCCCGTGCAGTGCCCGTTTAGCCCCCTCTATCCGTTGATGCTGGAGGGCGCCTGCCTCAAACTGCTCAGTAGCACCCTTTATGAGCCTCTAGATACAGGCACACACACACAAATGCACACACAAATACACATACACACACATACACACACACATACACACAAATACACACATACACACACACACTTACACACACACACTTACACACACACGCACACAAATACAAATACTTAATGCGGACCTAGCCTGAGGACACCACCATTCAGTGGTAAATGGTGGTTGTTTGTTTCAGGGTGTGTGTGTTTTTCTGTGTAACTGTGTGTGTGTGTGAGTCTATGACTGTGTGTATGTGTGACTGTCTGTGTGTGTGTGACTCTGTGTGTATGTGTGAGACTCTGTGTGTGTGTGACTCTGCCTGTGTCTGCGTCTTTTTCTTTGTGCCCAGGCTTCAGGCTGAATGATCAGCTGCTGCGCGTCATCACGCTCCGCTACGCGGAGGAGGACGGCAACGTCGACTTCGACAACTTCATCTGCTGCCTCGTTCGCCTGGAGGCCATGTTCCGTACGTACGCGCACAGACAAAGATCCCCCGTGCGGCCTCAACACACTGTCAGGGCAAGTGCTGTTAGCGAGTAGCAGCGCCTGCGAAGGCCGGCACGGCACACGAGGGGGTGGGTGGCCGGCACCACGCCCGGCCGCCTTTGTCTCCCGAGCGGCGACGTTTACTACACGCCGCACCGGGTACTCGTTTGAGGCTGAGTCGACCTAGGGGAGGCCGCGAGACAGATAATCGTCACCGGTGTTGGCCGTGAGAGAGGTCCGCAGGACAGCTGCGCCACCGCTCCCCGCACGCGCGCACGCACGCACCCCCCGCTACGTGCGTCGAGAGTGTGAGCACCGATTTTATAGCAGTGGATTGCTTTAGGCCTGCTCAGCAGATTGTCTCTGGGGTAGAGGTCGGGTTGGGGAACCCGTCTGCTTACCGAGGGCCGAATAGGACTCCCGGCCAGCCCCCGGGTGGGCGATCATACGCGGACTCGTCCCAATAACGATCGCGAAAAATAACGCACGTGCCGGCCTAGCGTGAGGAGACCCTGACAGTGAGAGAAGCTACCAGGTGCCGGACAGAGTTCCTGACAGAGTCCCTGACAGAGTTCCTGACAGAGTCCCTGACGGAGTCCCTGACAGAGTCCCTGACGGAGTCCCTGACAGAGTCCCTGACGGAGTTCCCGACAGAGTTCCCGACAGAGCCCCTGACGGAGTCCCTGACGGAGTCCCTGACGGAGTCCCCGACGGAGTCCCTGATCGTTCCGGACCGTGGTGCCAGCGTGGCGACGTCGTCCCGTGTGACCACGTGTTTGTGCCACAGGCGCCTTCCAAGCTCACAACCGGGATGGGGACGGCACCATCAAGCTGAACGTGCTGGAGGTGAGGGGCGGAGGGAGGGGGAGGGAGGGGGAGGGAGGGGGAGGGAGGGGGAGGGAGGGGATCCGCTGGTTTCATCATCAGCGACCCATCATCAGTGTATCCATATTCATCAGCATCGTCATTATCATAATCTCTCTCATCATCACCATCAGTGCCTCATCATCATCATTATAATCTGTGTCTCATCATTATCTCATTATCATTCCCGTCATGATTACCATCATACTGAGTGCCTCATCGTCTCGTCAAGGACCGTAAACCATCACGCAATCTCCGGCCATCCTCGCAGCAGCGGCTTTTGTCTAAACGTCGAACGAAGACGGTGGTCACCGCATCGCGCGGCGCTTTCAGATGCCCTTTTTTTTCGGCCGTCTGGAACGTTCTTCCTTCCGATATTGGGAAGCCACTGGGAGCTATGTAAATTTTAAATCGTCATCGTCGAGATTGACAAACTCATTTTAAAGCTTTTGGTGTTTAGTTTGTTGTCCTTCCCCCCCCCGCACCTCCGATTAGAACGGTTTTCTACATACGGCACGAAAGACGTTCAACACACGCACACGTGCATACCATCACAGCCGGTGTCATCATCAGCGTCTCATCGCCATCTTAACCGTTGTCGTCATTGTGCCCTGCGACAAACGTTTTGTCTGTGGCTGCGACGCCCAAGCGCTGACGTGGACTCTCGTGTGTCGCCAACAGTGGCTGCAGCTCACCATGTACGCCTGAGGGCCGCTGAAGAGGAGGAGGCACGGGTGGGGGGAGGGGAGAGGGGAGAGGGGGACAGCAACATGGCCGCCCCGGAGCAAGCGGCCAGGTGGTCCGCCATCTTCACACGCGCACGCACAGCTACATGCTTGCATGCACGCGCACAAACACGTACGCGTGCACACGTACACACGCGGCGACGGACACGCACAGATACGTACACGCACGCGTAATTAGGTGTTGAAACACAGACAGGCAAAGATATCCCCACGCACGTACATACTGTATGCAGGCACACACAAAGACAAACATCCCCCGTATAGTCAGGGAAAGAACTGTGAGCGAGCAGCTATTAAGGCCGGCATGGCACACGACGGGGTGGGTGGTCAACACCACGCCTGGCCGCCTTTGGATCCCCAGGTACTCATTTAAGGCTCAGGACGAGTTTGGATAATTGCTACTGTTCCGAGCTCGGCTTACCGAGTTCATAGTGCAGTGCGCCAACCACTGCGACATTGTTACGCGAGTGTGTGTGCACGGACCAAGACCAAGACACGCATACCCTGTATAGCCTTAACGGGCTGTTGGGGCTAGTGCTGTTAGCGAGCATCTTTGAAGGGACACACACCGTTGCACATGCACACATACACACGTGCAGCTAAATGCTTACACACAGACGCACGCACGCACGCAAGGTCAGTTGCATGCGCCTATTGCAGTGCGGAAAAACGCAATCACGCGCGCGCTCGCGCACACACACACACACGTACACGCCGCACGCTCTCATTCGTGCTCGTAAGCTTACGCGTCATTCGCCGGGTCACGTGACCACAGCGTTGGTCGTTTGGTGCCTGTTGTTCGTCGGCACGAGTCGCCCCTCGCGAGCGACACGGGGAGGGGAGGAGGAGGAGGGGGGGGGGGGGGTCACGATGGCCGTGTCGGAGCCGCCACTGCCTAGATCGTGAGTTTCAGCCGCCTCTTTAAATCGGATTTTAAAGTTAGAGAGAGAGAGGTGAGGGGTCGATGGTGGTGACTGGAGGGACCGACGTGCGGGCTAGCGCTCTTCTTTTTAAGCGAGGCGTGCGTCAAGCAAGATTCGTTACCCACCATTGTAAATAATAATGAGAGACGTCTCGAAGCGAATTCCGGAAGTGGATTCCGTCGCGTCATCTTCCGGGCGGGGCCTAGGAGGGGTGGGCGGGGCCTAGGAGGGGTGGGCGGGGCATGGGAGCGATGGGGGGGGCGGCCAGGTGGGGCACTGCTCACTCAGCCCCGCGCGCCACACGCACTGCGGTCAGCCCTGGCACGCCCCGGCGCTCTTTAGTTTTAACGGTTCGTCGGGTCAAACTTAGCAAGTGCCAAACGCCCCGTCGCCCTCCTAGCACGTGGCAGGCCAAACGCACCCCGGGACACCGTTTCTCAGTCGGGGCCCACTGGGTCTGTTCCTGTTGTCAAATCCTCCGCCGCGTGCCGTCGTCCCGCAACAAAGAGAAGTCCCCAACGCGGCAAAAATAGCGCGCGACCAGATCCCGGTACGAGTCGGTTCTGGCCGCGCGCGCCCGAGCACCGATCCGATGTCGGGTGCCTGGCCTGTCCCGGTGGCAACCTCCGGGTTACTGTGGAAAGCACAAAATACGGTAATAGCGGCCAAAAACCGACGTGGATGTACGTTACGACGCGAGGCGGAGGTTGTGTGCGCGGTAGGAGCACACGAAGCTACCAAACACTCGCCCTAACCTTAATCTTACCCATAACCCGACCGATAAAAAAACTATTAAAACTTTTTTTTATTTTACCAAGTAAGGCTGCCCCCGCTGAGCTATGCAGCTCTTTTTCAGAATCAACGAAGATGGCTTATCGTCACGTGGAAATTTAGTAGCAGCAACAACCTCGCTCAGCCCTGCTGCCACTGTGGGTCTCCCCCGGTTTGCGGTGGCAGAGCGGGCGTCCTCGAGTGGCGCAATCGGAGTGGCGACCCTCGCGACCCTCGCGACCCTCGCGACCCTCGCGACCCTCGCGAACCCTCGCGACCCTCGCGACCCTCGCGACCCTCGCGACCCTCGCGAACCCTCGCGACCCTCGCGACCCTCGCGACCCTCGCGACCCTCGCGACCCTCGCGACCCTCGCGACCCTCGCGAACCCTCGCGACCCTCGCAAACCCTCGCGACCCTCGCAAACCCTCGCGACCCTCGCGACCCTCGCGACCCTCGCGACCCTCGCGACCCTCGCGACCCTCGCGACCCTCGCGACCCTCGCGACCCTCGCGACCCTCGCGACCCTCGCGACCCTCGCGACCCTCGCGACCCTCGCGACCCTCGCGACCCTCGCGACCCTCGCGACCCTCGCGACCCTCGCGACCCTCGCGACCCTCGCGACCCTCGCGACCCTCGCGACCCTCGCGACCCTCGCGACCCTCGCGACCCTCGCGACCCTCGCGACCCGGTTTCCCCCGTCCAGCGCTCGCGGCTCCGGTTCTCGTGTCCCGCCAGATTCTGCGACGCGTGACCGCCACGTTGCCGCCACGTCGTGTTACCATCGGGTTGTCACCAGGCTACGGCCACGTTGCCGCTCGGCCTCACCCCGACGCCACGTGTCGCTCGCCCTCGGGGCAGAGGAGGTGACTCGGCGGTGACTCGGCCGTGACTGCTGCTGCTGCTGCTGCTCCCTCAATCGTGACTCCCCTCCCCGGCTGCTTTGCCCTGGGCGCAAACTCAACGCGTTTCGTCGATAACACCTCAATTACTTTGTCGTGAAAGGTAAACAACAACAAAAACCAGAACTCTTTGAGCGACGTGTCGGGCAATGGCAGCAGCCGAAGCAAAAATCTGCGGCGATGGCTTTTTTTTTTTTACTGCCGTCAAGAAGAGGCGATTCCCGAAACCTTTTTTTTGCCTAAGATATATTTTTTGGGAATTTGTTCCCTCTTTAGGGGCGGCGCGGTCGACGGATGTGGTTGATCCATAAGTTTTTTTGGGTTAGACCAGGTAAATATGAATGCGTCGTCAAACACGACACACAGCCAATTAGAAAGCTTTGTCACGTAAACAAAACAAATCGTGCCAATTCGTTGCTGGTTCAGCACTAACCCGTTGCGTGTTGGAGAGTGAAGCCACTACAACATTTACAATTCGGGTAGCCGTGACGTTTCGCCGGTAATTACAACAATGACGAGCAGCAGCATCATCATCATCGGGTGGCAGCCAGAGAGTTGTGGAGAAATCCTCTCTGCTGTTGCGGTCTCAAATAGACACGGGCTGGGATACATGTGACGTCGCTTGTCAGCCAATCGGGTGTGAAGGCCAGAGAGGGGTGGGCGAGGGTTGATGTATGCATATAATGTACAAATGGATATCCATTACCGGTTGGGTTATTCAGAATGTGGTTGAGTTGTTAATTTGTGCACATCTGCCAGCAGCAGCATCACAACAAATGTAATTCCCGTTTGAGGTGCCAGCCAAGTGATGTCACGAGCTCTACCCGATTGGCCTCCCACAGTCACGTGACTGAAGCATCCCTTGTGTGTGTGACTAGTCACATGACTGGAGGATCTGTGTATGTGACTCATCACATGACTGGAGGATTGTGTGTGCGTGTGACTCGTCACATGACCGAAGGTTATGTGTGTGGCTAGTCACATGACTGAAGGTTATGTGTGTGGCTAGTCACATGACTGAAGGTTATGTGTGTGGCTAGTCACATGATTGGAGGATCTGTGCGTGTGGCTAGTCACATGACTGGAGGTTCTTGTGCATGTGTGTGTGACTCGTCACATGACTGAAGGTTATGTGTGTGGCTAGTCACATGACTGAAGGTTATGTGTGTGTCTAGTCACATGATTGAAGGTTATGTGTGTGGCTAGTCACATGACTGAAGGTTATGTGTGTGGCTAGTCACATGACTGAAGGTTGTGTGTGTGGTTAGTCACATGACTGGAGGATCTCTGTGTGTGGCTAGTCACATGACTGGAGGATCTGTGTGTGTCTAGTCACATGATTGAAGGTTATGTGTGTGGCTAGTCACGTGACTGGAGGATCTGTGCGTGTGGCTAGTCACGTGACTGGAGGATCTGTGCGTGTGGCTAGTCACGTGACTGGAGGATCTGTGCGTGTGGCTAGTCCGTGCGGCTCCTGAAAGATTGTCGTGTTTACCGAGCCTTCAATAAACGTCTCTTCTCGACGCTTTTGGTTTTCCGACCCCTGCACCGGTCAAGCGGCTGCTCGTCTCGGCGCGAGTTGAGTTGCGACGCAGTGCGGCCACTGCACCTGTGCACAGGTCGGCGCCAGTTCCACCGGGCAGGCAAAGCCGAGGGCCTCCGGCGAGCACCGCCACGGGCGGCGGAGAGTGCGGTTGCCACCCGTCCCGGCGGTGCCGCCGCGATCGCCCCCTTCGTCGTCGTTGGGGACGCAAGCTTGTCGCTCGCCGGCCCTGGTGGAACCGTCGGTCGTCTTCCCGAGGGCGTTAGAAGCCCTAGCTTTTGTCAGTTGCGTAACAAAACATACAACACGAGCTTTACTACCCGGCTTCGCCCGAGACTTGGATTCTTGTAATAAACGGCCTACGCGGAGGGTGGGGGGGGGGATGCGTGACGTCAGCAGGCACACTGCGTGACGCTGCCGCATGCGGGTGACATCACAGATGTGACGTCACCGCTCACTTGCCGTGCAAAATATATTCATTATTGTGCCCCCCCCCCCGAAATGCAAAAGTCTATTTTTATACTTTTTGCATTGTGTACAGTCTGGAAGCTACCCACATGCCAAATTTCAAGTTTGTTGCATGTTGGGAAGTATGCTAAACATTTCTCACATTAACATCACTAGCCCCAGCCACTTCTTTATAACCCTTGAACTACATCCATTTCAAACCTTTTAAAACAGTCTGCCACAGCAGCAGACCACGCTGTCCCACCTGATGACGGACGCTTGTGTTGCGCCCGAAACGTCGTGATTTATTTTATTTTCTACCTACATGACTTTACCGAAAGAACCAAAGAGCATGGATTCCTGCAGTCACGAAAGCTTCAAATCAATTTTGAACAGACACACGTTCACAAATTTCCCTTTTATGTATGTATAGATTAATTATTAATAACGCCAATCAAGACGAGGCATTTGCACGTGGATCTCCCCCTCTTCAGTACTGAGATCTTTCCACGGTACACCCCCCCGGGTTTTATGTTTTGAGAAAAGGTGGCATCCCCAGGTGTACGAGCTGAAGCCTGGTAACGACAGGGACTCCTCTACTTACGAACATTGGACTTACGAATTCTCAGAGATACGAACAAACCTGGTCCGCATGTCCAGTTGCCTGTTCAGACCGAGAGCTGTAAGTTCAACCACAGCGCAATACATGGCGGTGGTGGTATCTACATCTGCAGAACGTGAAGAACCAGTGGCATCTACATCTGAAGGTTGATTATATACAATTTAAAGCCATCCCCCGTGTTTAGTGTACATGCTGAGTCTATGGGCAGTGTTGAGTCTATGGCTAGTATTGGGTCTATGGGCAGTGTTGAGTCTATGGGCAGTGTTGAGTCTATGGGTAGTGTTGGGTCTATGGGCAGTGTTGGGTATATGGGCAGTGTTGAGTCTATGGGCAGTGTTGAGTCTATGGGTAGTGTTGAGTCTATGGGTAGTGTTGAGTCTATGGGCAGTGTTGAGTCTATGGTGCAGTGTTGAGTCTATGGGCAGTGTTGAGTCTGTGGGCAGTGCTGAGTCTATGGGTAGTCTTGAGTCTATGGGCAGTGTTGAGTCTATGGGCAGTGCTGAGTCTATGGTGCAGTGTTGAGTCTATGGGGAGTGCTGAGTCTATGGGCAGTGTTGAGTCTATGGGCAGTGTTGAGTCTATGGGCAGTGTTGAGTCTATGGGCAGTGTTGAGTCTATGGGCAGTGTTGGGTCTATGGGCAGTGTTGAATCTATGGGCAGTGTTGAGTCTATGGGTAGTGTTGAGTCTATGGGTAGTGTTGAGTCTATAGGGCAGTGTTGAGTCTGTGGGCAGTGCTGAGTCTATGGGCAGTGTTGAGTCTATGGGCAGTGTTGAGTCTATGGGCAGTGTTGAGTCTATGGGCAGTGTTGAGTCTATGGGCAGTGTTGAGTCTATGAGCAGTGTTGAGTCTATGGGCAGTGTTAAGTCTATGAGCAGTGTTGAGTCTATGGGCAGTGTTGAGTCTATGGGCAGTGTTGAGTCTATGGGCAGTGTTGAATCTATGGGCAGTGTTGAGTCTATGAGCAGTGTTGAGTCTACGGGTAGTGTTGAGTCTATGGGCAGTGTTGAGTCTATGAGCAGTGTTGAGTCTATGGGCAGTGTTGAGTCTACGGGCAGTGTTGAGTCTATGGGTAGTGCTGAGTCTATGGGCAGTGTTGGGTCTATGGGCAGTGTTGAGTCTATGGGCAGTGTTGAGTCTATGGGTAGTGTTGGGTCTATGGGCAGTGTTGGGTCTATGGGCAGTGTTGAATCTATGGGCAGTGTTGAGTCTATGGGTAGTGTTGA